GAATAACAATATTGTTATTACAAATTAATATTAGATCTGGCCAAACGGCCTATTACAATAAAGAATAACTAAAATATAAATAAATAGAAAAGTCTATACATAGTTATGAAGATATACAAAATTAAAGAGAGCTGAAGTGCAACATGGTTACAATGCTGCAAAATAGTTGCTAAAAACAATAATATAAAAATAACTAGTTAAAGTTCGAAAGGCACGTTAAAGTAATTTAATAAATAAATCCATAATTGGTAAATGGTTGACTGTCGTGGATAATGAAGAGAAGAATAGTTGGGGTTGCAGTCAAAAAAGAAGGCAAAAATAGATGATAATATTTATTTCTACATATGCCGACGTTTCGACCTGAAGTTCAGGCCATCATCAGGGCTAAGAAAAGAACCAGATAACAAGGTATGAGAAATATAAAAATGACAGTAAAATGAAGTTGTTACAATAATGGCAATGGTAAGAACAAGAGACAAATAATAATAACAGGTACAAAGTGTGGAATGATGAAGTAAACATAGTCAAAAAAGGTGACATAAGTATTGTAAAGGGAACCTTAGAATAAAATGTAAAACAGAAAAATATGAAGTTATACAAGAAATGGAAATAAATAGTAAAATTAAGATATAGTGAATAGAATATTTAGATAGAAAATTGAGATGTTGTAAAGTCTATCAATATGCACAGACAAAGTATGAATAATAAAGAGTTAGAACAGAGAAAAGAAATGAAAGGAAGGAGGAGAGAAACTGAGAAGGTTGAAATAAGAAAGAGAATAAGTAAGAGAAATGATAACAACCTGACTGCTCTAAGGTAAAGATGCAATGCTCGTGTTATTGAAGGATGGAGGTGGATAGAGAGGATGTATAGTGGTGTCATCTCCAACGGTTATCTGACGAAGTTTGAACTAACGTATCGGAAGCGTAAATAAGAACGAGAGATATATTATTCATAAATATTAAGGAATAAAACGAAAGTTGATAGAAAGAGGTAATAAAATAGTTTAAAATAAAATAAATTTATAATAAATAAATAATTTATAAATTATAACTAAATTTGTAATACATTTAAATAGTTGATAGAAATTCTGGAGAGGCAATAAAACGAAGAAAATAACTGTTGAGTAATAATGGAGAATAATTGAAATTAATACAGATCATATATATATATATATATATATATATATATATATATATATATATATATATATATATAATAAATAAATCATTGTAATTCATACAAAAAAAAATAATAATAAAGAAAATAAACGATTTACATCTGTTCCTTAAGGTTTGTAAATAAATACTCATAGTGGTATTGTAAAAAATTAAAAAAATATTGTAATCTGTATACTAAGGTGTAGATTGAGAGGAGAAAAAAAAAAAAAAAATATATATACATAGAGGAGAGTGTGTTCAAGATACGTAAAAAATAAAATACATCTTAAAAAGATAGAATGTTATGAACTGGAGAAAGAAAAAAAAATAATAACAATACCTATTTACAATGCTCTGTGAAAAGTAAAAGGGAATCTTCTCCATATTCATCACAGAAAAGTATAAAAATAATGTGTAAAGAAAAGTAAGGCCTTGTTACATAATAAATAATTAGCAGGCTTCTGATTTAATTGAGAAAAGGATTTGGAATAAGAGGGTTTGAAGTGTGGATAAGGATGGTGAATGGCGGATTTTAAACGGATTGGAATTCCAGTATATGGTGAAGAGGTCAGAAGGACGAGATCTTGTGGAGAGGTGGTGGATAGATGACTTTAATTGGAGAAGATTGTATGCCCAGGTCTGGCGATGATAATTGATTATTTGATAAAGGAATGTGCCAGAAAGTATTGTCTTCTGAAGGAGGGGAAGAGCCACCAAAATCAGCGTAGTATAGGGAAACATGAGACCGTATCGGGGTCCCATTGACAAATCTTAAGAAGCCATTCATTCATAAGTACAAACTTAAAGATATTATATGTTAATTGGTATTAATGGTCATTCGTTCCTAATTGACGTCATTCATTCCAGGCAGTTATGCAGTGACGTGTAACAACCCAGATCTGCAAAACCCGTATTGCCTCAATGGCACGGTAGGGTTCAAATAAATAAATAAATAAACGTTCCTGATTGTAATTCAACAGACGAATATTTACACCCTCCCATCCCCCTACCATTCCTTAACATAACTATGTTTCATGACTTTTTCGTTACATTAACTCCTAAGAGCAGCAAATACCGACATATAGTTGCTTATGAAGTACCATTGGTTTACCCAGCCTAAGCAGTCTGAGTTTTCAAATGTAATGACTATGCAAAATCCCAAAAATTAAATTTAGTCTCATTAGTTAGATTTTTTTCATAGATTAAGGCTCGAACCGAGTGGAAATAAAGCTTTTACAAATTTTGCATAACCGTTTATTCCCTTATTACAAGTAATCTGTATTAACACTTTTTAGAAATAAAAATTTATTTATCTTTTTTTATTATGTTGCCTCTAGCAATGGAATGGCCAATTCCATTACTTTAAATTACGTTTCAAGAAATCTAATGTTTTTCTGAGAAGAAATCTAAAGTTTGTTGTCCTCGAACTTCTCCTTCTATGTTGTTGGCATGTGTAACTAATTTTTTCCTTGCACTATTGAAATTGGAGCATTCTTACGGGTTTAACTGTTCGTTGAATATTCCAGCTTTCACATGTAGGGAGTTAAAGTACTCTTAATGAGTGTGCTTGTGAAAAGACATAGTGCCCTATCCATTTCCGACAGAGAACTGTTTCTTCCATCCTGGATATTTGGTTAGAGGTTTTGAAGCAGTAACTTCTTATCTCTTTTAGTATTGACTCTCCTTGTTCCCACTTGGTTTGGCACATTTCCTAAATTTCTTTTTTTTTCGGTAGAAAATCTTCTCTCGCAATATTTATGATTGCTGTTACCCTTCACATATGTATTGTCTATGTAAAAAATGTCTGCCAAGTAAGGTCAGTATAGCTTCCTTACCGTTATTATTTGCCAAAAAATATCTATATTAAAGGGTCTAAAAAATTTCTAATGAGAATAAAATCTCTGAAAGAAGACGTTTTTGGAAATACAATAATCCCTCAACATAGGGCTAACATAACATAGGGCTTGATACCCACGAGTTTTGTATAAAATGCGAAAAACTTCCACATTTGCAGTTTGCATATTTGATGATTCGTAACTAAAAAAAAAAAATCCACTGCATACTCAATATGTATCTCGCTACTGTTAGTGCAAATGGCATAAATAAATATTGAGTGTTTTACAGGAGAGCAAAAAAATTAATTATTTCTTCATGTTATTTATCAGTATAATTTTATATTTTATTGTCCTCTGCTATTTTTCATATAGTAAGACTACTTATATCAATTGCAGGCTACATAACGTCAAAAATAAAATAAAAATTGAAAACTTTTAAATACGACCTTTGCACTAAGAGTAGTGATATGAGTAAATAGACATGTTTTCACACGTAAAATGGATGGAACAAAAACCCATAGGAAAAATTCAACTTTTTGTTTGTTCAGAGTGAACGAGACTAATACTTTTCTTCAGTAATAAGAAAACTAATTAAGATCACGACGAGCTGATTGAACCTCAACGTTAATTAATTTTTTATTATTATTTTTTTTTTTACATATCCAGAGTTAAAATTACTTTAAATTTACTGAAAATTATACGAAATGTATGTAACGGCAATAAATGTCATGCCAGTAACGTTTAGAATCGACCAAAAAATACAATATAAATTAACTTTTTGAATAAAACCTAAAATTTTATAACCCCATAACAATATTGTAATAACCTAACTCCCACTCCATATGATCAGTGCCTTCCACATTTCACAGCCATTATAGTGTTAACAATTATCTATATTAATTTCAATTATTAAATGGAATTCAATGAAATCGATACTAAGTAATTTCTATACTGTTCTTCAAATTTCCTCCAAGTTTGGGTCAAATCGAATGCGCCATTTTCAAACTATAGGCATATCATATAACACATTTCCTGATCTGAGCGGAAGCTGTTTTTGGAGTATTAGATAAAACTGATGTCTATTCAATTTTACATTGATCAATCCCTAAATTCCCTCTAAGTTTGAACCCAATCGAACTTGCGGTTTTAGAAATATAGATGTATCAAGGAAAATACGTTTTCGCATATAGAAGAGAAAGCAATGGACAAAATTCAATTAAATTGACCCTAAATTATTTGTTTAAAAATACCTACCTATTATCCGACTTTGAGCCAAATCGAACGAGCCGTTTCTGAAATATTGGCATATTAAAAAAAATGCGGTTGCGCGTGCGTAAGCGGAAGTTAGAATTTAATAAAATTAGTAAGGGACCATTCAGACGCCAACCCGCACAATCTCTAAAAATTTCATGAAAATCGGATAAACGGTAGTAGGTGATATGTCCGTTATATCGATTTGACTACAGACAGACAGACAGATACCGAACCAAATTTAATCCTTGATGTATGAAACGTAAAACGGGAGTGGAAAATTTCGATTCTGAGCACAAACTTTTTTTAACCTCTCGAACAAATGCAAATGCTTCCCTATCTTCGGTAGTGAGGAAGCGATAGTAAAAAGTTCAACGTAAAACAATATTGCTGGACCTTACAGTGTCAAATAACATGGATATAAGACTATTACTGGGGAGAGGGGTAGCTCAGTGATAGCGTAATGTGCTTCCAAAGCTAAAGGTCCCAGGTTCGAATCTCGGCTCATGGCAGAATAATTATTTATTCTGTTTCATTAGCGGTGGGGGGGGCTCGGTAGGTAGACCCCTCTGGCAAACCCAGCCTCTATAAAGTGGTTACCTACAATTAAAATAATTAATTAGGGGAAAACCCTAGTGGTTGAGCGTGATCTCGGTCAAATCACCTCCTTGCACAACCGTAACCAAAAAACAGTGCTCTCTCTAAATAGTACTGAACCCGTTGGTGAATGAATCGTTTTTAGAAGTTACAGTTTTCAATGGGAACAGCAATACTTGAAAATCTTTCTGTCATTCCTAACTTTCATGGAAGTACAATTTTTTTTTTTTTTTTTGCTTAAAAATCTGTTCTGAACTAATTATTTTCATCATCAGCACTGAGTGTTGTTGAGAATGATGGATTGGGCGAAAACAATTTTCTCCATTTCTATGTTTGATTAAATATCTGTTTGATAGCTTATCCATTTGAAGTGGACAAGGGCGGTCAACAAGTCTTTTTAAAGAGTCGTTGAGAGGAGTGCACAGCCAGTACATCTGCAACAGGTAAGTCAAGAGAAATCTCTATATTTTTTTAAACTAAATTTATTAAAATTGTTTAAAGCATATTAAATGATCTTGCGTTTAAATGTTAAATTTAGGATGAAGACCCTATTAATATCCATCTTACTCTTGGTGGTAGCTAATGGTGGTCCAGTCCATCAGGACGACTTCAAAGAAATCATCGATATTGTCAACTCATCTGGAGCTAAATGGAAAGTAAGAGAAACTACTACAACTACTACAAATGTCTATATCTAACATTTTTCAATATCTTTCAATTAATGTGTTGTATTATGTAGTAGCATATTAATTCAATCTCTCAGTTGACAGAATGACTCCAATTTCAACATTTTTGAATAAAGTCATTTTAGAGACATTTCTGATTGGAAAATTTATAACACCTGTACAGACAGTGAGTAAGTTGATTCCAGAATAGGTGATTGCAGTGTTGAAATATATAAATTTGAATAAAGGTATAAATTTTCCCATAAGGAATATCACTAAAATTAATAATAAAAAATATTGAGAAATTTGAATTAGTCATTCAGTCTCAACTGAAATGCTCAATTTATAGTTAAATAGCTGTGTCACGTAGTTTTACTTATCGCGTTTTATTTTGTAATTTTATAAACTTAACGAGCTTATGTTCAGTGAAAGCAAATGGACCTGATGAACTGAATAAATTCGAAAAGAATTTTTCAGATCGAACTGGTATTTTCTAAAATTCCTACGCTCAAACAAACACTTCAAATGTATTCACAAGTATAGATTAAAATAATCAGCAATTGAATTTACCAATTACTACTACAATTATTGAAATATCGGTCGATTTTATTATTGCAAAAATTTCCATGGATCACACCCGGATGATATAATGCAAATTAGTAAAGGTTGGTACAAATATTTTCACGGTTTAGCAGTTTCAAATAAAAAATGCTTTGTCTATTTTATATAATAATATGGATTTAATATAAAAAAAAATCAAATTTAATGATTTTTTAAATATTGTTCATAGTAATTATTTTGCATTTATTATTCCATTTTTAATTCTATAATATATAAAAATATAATCACTATCTATACTATAATATAATTTATTGAACACAGGCAGGCCAGAATTTCGGAGAGAACATAACAATATCATCATTGAAGAGGTTGCTGGGAGTGAAGAGAGATAGGCTCTGGAAACTGCCGCTGAGAGCACACAACACCATCCCAGACTCAAACATCCCAGACAGTTTCGATGCAAGGGACAACTGGCCTGCTTGCGAATCCATTCGTCACATCAGGGACCAGGGAACCTGCGGATCTTGTTGGGTAAAGTACTTGTGGAATTGAATTGAATCCACGATGTTTTTCAATCAACGTAATAACCATTTATTATTTATGTACACTTTTGAATATTCACCTAACTTAAATACGAAATTTCAGAGTCCGATATCTTTTTGCTTTTGATCTCTGATCTTCATATACAAATAAATTTTTGATTCGGTTACCTATTTGATCTCAGAGAACGGAGAAAAGATATTTGAACAACAAGCTGAAACAAACCGATTTTTATTGACTGCACTCTCCATTATTCGCAAGAGTAGGTATCAACCTTTGGTATCTTATTTATTTGCGTCCATTTGGTACTTATTTATTCGCTTTTGGTCCCCCAATACGACATTAGGCAGAAACAGCACCAAACTAATATGCGTAGAACAACTGAAGCCGATTTTCTTCGGCCTTATTTTGGCCTCTACAATATGACCTTCTTTCTATTCCACTTCCTCTGGATGAACTTCATTATCCGACGGTCTCTTCCTGGTTTCAGACCTTGTTCCTCAGGCTCTGCGCTTTCTATCCGTATCTAAAATGTTTGTCGAGAAAACTCATTTTCAGCGAGGACGTTGATTCCTTCGACTCTCATCATGTCACAGAAGCCTCAAATGCGGTGCAGGTCATGACCACGTACAGTTTCTGGAAAACCGCACATTGGACAGAGAAGTTCTGGACTATGAAGTTTGGCTTTCAATCCTCCATTTTAAGTTAGTAATTGTCCAATGGCACTTCATAGCCTAAAAAGCAGTAAACTAATTATTTATTCAATATCGGTATATTCTAATCCAAAGCAGGTCTAAGATATGATTTATATAACTGATGTGCCCATTCACACGACTATCCTTAATGCACTAGTTGCCAAGTTGAAAAAATCTTTTATGAAACTACCAATTAATAAACATATATATATTCTCTTTATGTTAAAGTTTGTCTTGTAGACAACTGAATCATGTATCAAATAAGTATCAGGAATTTTTCAAGCAATTACAAAATCTGTTATCAAACTATAATCAAACTTTATTTCATCATCTTAATCAAAATATTTTTATTATATACGAGATTTTCGACAATGGCTGAGTCAGTGATAATCTGAAATAATTAGCATCGAAACAAATAAGTAACGTGCTGTGATCTGCTTCTTGACTTAGATTATATTACTTCTGAATTGCAGGCAGTTGCTGCTGCTGGAGCTTTCACAGACAGGTTATGCATTGCTACAAACGGCACCTTCAATTTGCCACTCTCTTCAGAGGAACTGCTGGCCTGCTGCTCAAGATGTGGATTTGGCTGTGGTGGAGGATATCCCGGTGAAGCATGGAGGTATTTTGCCGAAAACGGTCTCGTTACCGGAGGAGACTACAAATCTAACGTGGTGGGTGGTCCTGACTTAGGATTGTTTTGATTTCAAAAAATAAATCTCTGTACCAATCTCTAATTTATTTCATATATTTTTCTTCAATAATTTAAAAGGTAATGTAGAATTTTATCAACTTCCAGGGCTGCCAACCGTACGAAATCGTAGCTTGCTCGCACCACATCAACGGATCGTTGCCGTCCTGCGACACCTTACCGAAATCAGAGACTCCCCAGTGCCAAAGGAAATGTACGAATCCAGCCTATTCTGGGTCCTTCTCGTCAGATCACCACAAAAGTAAAAACCAAAAAACAATAAATTTGTTCAAATTATCACTTTTAATTACTGCTTTTGATTAATATAATCCTTTATGAATGTAGTTGAACACGCTTACTCCGTTATCTTTAGCGTGGAAGATATTCAGAAGGAGATAATGACCTATGGCCCCGTGGAAGCAACGTTCACAGTTTACGGAGACTTCCCGACTTATAAATCAGGTATGGTATTCTTATTCAACCCTTTCTAAACCAGTTGAATCATTTTTTTATTTTAAAAAATTCAATAATTTCCATATTGGTGAAAATCAATCGAAATCTTTATCTAATCCAATGTATTTCAATTTTAACTTCCACAAACAATATAGAAATTTTAATTTTGTATCAATGAATATTTTTAACGTGAAGGCATTGAACTGATAATCATTGGAATTAATTAATAATTTAATATCTGATTTGTATCAAAAATTCGAGTGAAGACACCTATCAATAAATTGATCTTTGAGACACAACATTATAGTAATCAGGGCCATAGAGGGCCAGGCAACCGGGGAAAGTGCCACGTAGCGCCGATCAGGAAGTGTGGGGACCGCTATCCACTTGTTAGAAATTTAAAAAAAAATTCAAAACGTATTAAAATAATGGATTTTAGGCTATAAATATAGCAACTATGAAAAATTATTTACTAGAGAAGTATTGAAAAAAATTAAAATAAAAAGTGAGCAAATAAAATTCAAATTTAACATAATATAAAATAGATTTAGAAATACATTTCGGCATTCCAACCAATCCCGATACCCTTCTAGCAACATTCGCTGACGATACCGCCATCCTGTCATCCCACACAGATCCTGAAACAGCATCCTTAAACTTTCAAAGACATATCTCCCTAATTGAGCAGTGCTGCAACAACTGGCGCATCAAAATCAACGAATCCAAATGCAATTATGTCACCTTTACCCTCCGACGCAGATCCTGTCCACCTATCTTCTTCAACTCAGTACCTTTCCTCGTATCAGACAGGAATTCCTTTTAGATAAAAGACTAACATCGAACCCACATACCAGACTTAAAAGACAAGAACTTAACCGACGACTTGGCCAGTTATAATGACTACTTAACAGAAAATCCAATCTCTCAATAGAAAACAAACTATTAATATACAATGTCTAAGGACGGCACTGGAAGGCACTGGTAGTACTGATTTTGGTACATTAACAGAAGTCAGGGCAACCAACAACTTACCTTCATATTTAGGTTCTTGTAAAGGCGTAGTGGTCGAATTATCTAACTGGTGTGCACATCACCGTGTTGCACAAAAACCTGATGGAACATAATATTATGAAAACGACTGTACATAAAAGAACTATGTAAGTTTAATGAATTGAAAAGCTAATAGACATATAATAATCATGACATTTACGAGGTTTATGTGTTACTGGAGATGGTGGTAGCTTATAAGAGAACTTTAAATGTTATAAGCAAGAGTTTTACTATATTCCACTGTATGTCCAAAAATATATAAATTTTCGTCTTTTTATTTAGGCGTTTATCACCAAGTGACTGGCTGGGCTCTTGGGGAGCATGCAGTGAAGATCATTGGCTGGGGCGTTGAAGATGGCTCACCCTATTGGATAGTCGCTAACCAATGGAACGAGAGCTGGGGTGATAAAGGATTTTTCAAAATACTGAGAGGAAATGATGAATGCGGCATTGAATCTGAAATTGTTGCCGGTATTCCTAAAGTGTAAATGCATGCGCTATATTTTTATCAATATATGTATTTTAAATAAAATATTTATTTTTTAAATTTGAATGCATCTATTTATCCCCATTAAACCGTTATATGAGCCTTTCAGTTGACAGAATGACTAACTCCAATTTCAAAATTTATTTTAGTAAAGTCAAATTAATATCTGTAAAGACAGTGAGTAAGTTGATTCCAGAGTAGGTGTCTACAGTGTTCTGTAGGTGTCGGCCACCACTCGACGACAACCAAACTTCGGGCGCTCCCAAACTACAAATTTTTATCCCTTTACACGATACACAATATTTATAGAAAGTAAATTTGACTGCACTATATTTAAATTATACATCATCTCTCTTTTTTTTTTTTTTTCTTATTTTTCTGTTGACATTGCAGACCATGTACATCTTTTGCCGCCTTAACAAGCCTGCTTCATCTCTGCCTTTCCTGGGCTATTTCTTTCCATTTATCTGCACGCAGCTCTGCTGCATCTTTGTTGTTCCTACCTATCCATCTTCGTTTTGGCCACGTGGTCTTTTGATTTCTAATGAGGCATTCATTGTTACGTAGAGGCTCTCAGATGAATTGCTAAGAAACACTTACTCCGCCCATCTTAATCTCCGTGCCTTCATATCATGGGATATTGATTGACAAGTTTCTGTAAGCAGTTCCTTATTAGTCATTCTTCTTCATGTGTTAGTACTCTGATCCCAGATCGCTCCTGTTATCGTGAGGAGGATTTGAATCTCAAATCATCGACCCTTTTTTCTAGAGTGCTGGTTAGTGTCCAGGTCTCACAGCCATTTGTTTTTCTTATTTAACGCCTTAATTCCAGATTATAATTATCATTTTCCACTTGATCCTAATTTTGTTTTTCTTTTTTTTATTTCAGTTTGTCTGAAATTTAACTTTTTATTTTTTTCTCTACTCTATCTCTCTGAATTTTTCTTTCTCTTTTTTAAAATCAACAACGCAATCATATATTTTAAATAATAAATTCAGATAAAAAATTATTTTTATTATGTTTTGTAATGTAACAAATGGTGAAGTAGAGGGTAATCGAAAAAAAAGGTACACTTAATTTCTAAAATAGTTCGTTCAATTTAGTTCAAAGTTTGGAAGCAGTCTACAAATAATAAAGATTCACTTTCTAGTAGAAACTCACATGTGAAATATATAAGTTATAGGGATTTAGTTTTTAAATTAAATGAAGTGTATAAGAAAGATTTCTTATACGAATATTCCATTACGTTTTCAATGTCAGAAGAAGGAAATTGATTATGAGAACATTTAATTAATAAACAATTGTACAGTAAATATGTTTTTCTTGTTTTAGTCATAAAAACGGTGAGAAAGTTGTTCTGACGATCTCGGTAGATTGCTTTTTTATTAATTGTTAAGAAAAATTGAATAATTATTGAAATTCACTATCCTTTGAAAAGGAAAATTTATTATCTTTAGTGGTAATTGTTTTTTTGAAGATAAATATAATTTACAGCATTAAAAAACTTTTCACTAGAAATATTACAATTTTTTCAAAAAATTAAATAATTTGAATCAATTATCCTGCATGCCCTCTTCTCTGCCTGTTTCAGCATCTTCCTCCACATCTTCTTTTTGGAGCATCTCTTGAAGTGAGAAGCCCATCGCTGACATGGAAGGTTTATATCCTGTTAATCTGTCAGAAGACATTCTTCTTCCTCTATGCATGATGTAATTCTTGGTTTGAAAAAACAGTCGACTCTCTTGTGAAGTTCTGAGGGATGTCTTTCACTAGACATAGAAACATAGTATGTTTTTTATCGTCGAAGTTTTTTTTAATTTTTATTTAAACGAATACAAGTTGATTTCAGGTTTAAAATTTGCCATCTGCAAAGTTTTTGCATTAACAAAATATGTGAAATATACGGATTCGTGGAGGAAATAAGTTCTTGAGCTAATGAGTATGTGCTATATGTGTTTGTCTTAAGTTTGTGGTAGGTTTTATAGTAAATTTGAACATATGGATATAATGACGTGGAAACACTTGCTGATAACTACGCAATGGTAGCACTCTATTTACAACTGTTAGATGCTTTTTCTCATTTTGACTACGAAAATGGAAGATCTGTTGTTTTCTCAGGTTTATGTTATCAATTTAATTTCTAGTGTCAAAAGTAAATTGATAAGTGCTGAGATTATACTATATATTAATTTTGGTAGTTTTCATGAAGTTAATAAATATTTTTTTTATAAATAAATATTATTAAACAAATTGCATAGTAACTAATTTCATCCGTCATCTATTATTTTTCATACAGAATAAATACTCCCAACTCTGCTTCGAAAACACATTTACTAACTGTTATTTATAACTCGCTATGATTTTATTTTATGCCTATAAATGATTTGAGTTCACTAGAGATCGTTTATAACGTCGTGACAGTGGCAGTGACGAATATTTTTCGTTTTTTTAAACGGATATAGCATCCACGGTAATAAATACCCATCGAACAACAAAGATCGATTTTAGCGATGGGGTTCCAAGTATCATAAGAAAGTCTCGCAAAAAATAAAAACCCTATTATTTAGCAAAATTTAATTTATTTAATTAAACCTATATTTTGAATATTAGGATGCATTTCTCATCAATAGAATGTTTTACTGCTTCGGTTTTAAATTTTTTTCCAAGTCAGGTATATCATATCTTAATCTGGTTTCTAGTCTTGAAAATGATACAATAATTGTGGAGGAATGTAAGTCACACTGTCAATTCGGATAGATAGAACCTCGATTGCACGATTATTGAACGCCCTCATTCCACCTTTGCACAAATCTTTGAGGTTTTTTACTAGATGTTGTCGAATCCAAAGGAATTGCAAAAGAGGTCTATGCTACTCGCTAAAGCGAACAATCCATTCCCAATACAACTTGGTAATCTTCGGGAAAAAAATGTCTAAGAGTTTGGACCCCATGTTTTATTCTAGCCAGGGGTGAAAAAGAAATCTTATGACTAGTTATTTAAATCTTTAAAAGCAGCTTATTTATGTAAGGTGTCAACAATGGATTTTACGGAATTCTTTTTTCATATTTAGATGATGTATTGTCGACATAGCTGCTGAGTTTTATCATTAGCGTTCACAATTCCCATAGAAATTAGAAATAATCGGTTCTGTTTATCATTAGCCCTGCAAATATAGACAGTTGTGAAATATTTAAAACTCTTGGTTTTCACAGAATTTAGAAATAATTTGTTTAAGATATAAAATTCTCTGTTTTAAAACAGAGTACGTAGTTTTCAATGCCCCAAATTTGCCCCTTGAAATTGATGACTGGACTCTCAATGTCAGCCAACAGTTCAAGTACCTCAGATAATGGCAAAGGGAGGTAGTGAGGTTGACATCGAACATAAAATAAACAATGGAAAAGAATAATAAGTTCGATAAATTCAACCCTATGGAGTAAAGAAATAACGATTGGAAACTAAAAAGAAGATCTACCATTCCTTTATAGAAAGCGTAGCCACCTATGCATCAGAAGTTTGGACAACTACAAAAAAGGCGGAAAATAGGAATGGCTTTCTATAGAAATGGATTTCTGGAGAACCTGTGGCATATCTAGAATCGAGAGGATCCCAATCGCAGCAATTAGAGACAAGATCGGATGTCAAAAGAACATCCTTCACTTGATCGGGACCAAAAGGTTAAAGTGGTATGACCACTTAATGCGGATGGATGTGAACCGCTGGCCAAAGAAAATTTATAACTATATGCCATCTGAAAGAAGGAAGCGTGGAAGGCCAAAGAAGAAATGGATAGAGGACGTGGAGGGAAGCTTGGCAGCCAGAGGGCTCCGTGAAGGAGATTGGATGGACAGGGAGCAGTGGCTTTTGGGTTTTGGGAATATGACTCCTTTAAGTTGAGAAAAAACTCAAATAAAAAAAAATGCAGGGACCACCACATCTTACTACTGATCTTTCAAACCGTAACCGTTTTACTTTCCTAGATGATGAATTCTCCTTTCCTTTTTGACGTCATCATTTAAATGCCTACGCTTAAATTTTCGGAGGCAGTTCAATTCTAATCACACGTGCCGAAGCAACTCTCCACGGCATCTATCATCCATTGTAAGTTATATTCCAATACTCTTGTAACCTCTCTTCAATCAATAACTCTTTCAGCTTTAACTTTGATACAACACAAGATTAAGGGTCCTCTGAGAGATTCAACTCTTTGGACGTGACCTTTAGCAGTTTAAATGACCTTTAACTAGTTATACTCATTGTTAACTTAAATACAGCACCAGCATCAGTTAATGGAATAGGAATGATACTGAAGTATTGACGGGAGCTATTTTAAAGTAAAGAATTTTATTTCCAAGAATTAATTTAACATTTTCTGACGCTATACTTACAGTTTAAATTGACCTTTAACATGCTAGAGGAAATTCAGCATCATTATATAAATAGGCAAACACAAATCGGTTCAGCCCCTTTTACTCCTCTATTATTCAACCGATTTTCTTTCTTCTTTTTTTTTTTTAATAGATATTGACGAGCTTTAGTGTATATATATATAAATAAATAAAAATATTAAATAGTATATAAACAAGAATATAAATGGTAGTTTGTTCAAAACGGCTATCTCTGAAAGTTTTTCTCCGATTTCTTTTAAATTTTGACACAACGTTGCAATAATATTTAGAAGTTTTTTTGTGTATGCTTTATTATTATCGGGACTTTCCTTTCGAAATGGCGGCCGAAAAACATGATTCGCTTTAGACTGTATCGCCAAAACGGCTTCAACGATTTCAATGAAACTTGACTAAAGTTTTCCCCTTGAAACCTTTATAATTTATGTGTATAACATACTTTTCCGAAAACAAGCTGCATACATTTTTATGATGAATTCAGTATTATATTTGCGAATAATTCAAGAAGTACACATTTTTTATTGATAATACCAATCTTTATTTGAAAGCTTCCTGAATTCCCTACAAAATAAAAATAAAATCATCGAAATCGGACTATTTTTTGCAGAGATATATCATTTTAAACGTTTAGTATTTTTTCTTTTGCAAATTCGATTTCCTTTATTTTGTTTTTTGATAAATCGAAAACTTTTCATTTACTGAGGTAATTGGGTCTATTATTTGAAGAGGATATCATGTAATGTTAGTGGAATGATACCTCATAAATTAAATTAAAAAATATATTCTATAGTTATACTCATTGTTAACTTAAATATTGCACAAGCATTAGTTAATGGAATAGGAATGAGACTGAAGTATTAACGGGGCTATTTTAAATTAAAGAATTTTAATTCCAAGAATTAATTTAACATTTTCTGACGCTATACTTACATTCGACTTTCAAAGAACAACGTTCATATTAATAGCTGCATTTTCTATGACCCACTAGCGGATCCAGGATTTAATTTTGGGGGAGGCTTCAGCCAGAAAGATTTTTTTCCATATATATAACGATAATTAATTTAAAAAAAAAAGAAGAAAGAAATGAATTACATATATGTAATTTATTATATGCTATTACACGAACAATAATATTATAAGATATATTATATATAATATATATATAATATATATATATATATATATTATATAATATATATATTATATATATATATATATTTTTTTTTTTTTTTCCTTAAAACACGGTTATATTTTACCGTTTTGGGGAGGCTTCAGCCCGAAAACCCTCCCCGTAAATGACCATAATCAAATCGCAGGATAAAAGTTTTGGAAAAATGTGTGTATTATTGTGATGTAAAGTTATTTAGCATGGACAATTATATGTAGCAGCAATTAGAGCACGTTCATTTAAAATATTGAAATTTATATTTTCATTGGCAATGGGCATGGCTATGCACTAAAGAATAACAGGAGATTCAAAAAGAACATTGTTTACATAGAAGTTCTGAATAAAAAAGGATTTAAAGTGAATTTAAATTGCTAATTTAAATTTATTTTTTACTTGCTTAATCATCAAATTAATTTATTGTGATAACACACATAAATTAAAGTGAAAATTAAATATTTTTGAATGAGTCTATTTTGTATTACTTTTAAATAATTTTAAATGACTTAAGCTCAATTTTTAATTGAAATTGAAATTTTGTTTGTATTAATAAATGAGGATTTTTGAATCCTGCTTTACTCTTTATTTATGTAATTTGTTTTTTATTTAATTATATCTTTTCCACAAATCATTAATGGCTATGGTCGAACACTAGTAGATATAACTAGACAAGTTTTAATCATGTAAATAAAGATCATTTTAGTCAAAGTGTATTCTTATGAATTATCTTCACAGTATTATTAGGATTGGGAGGAGCCTTAATTCTTCAACCTGGTGGCAGCGATTATAAGTTTGTCATTGGAGTTTAACCCTGTTTATTGTTCTAATAGTACAGTATGTGGTACATTAATCAGAACTCAGATCTGTTACAACAGTCCAGTATGTCTTCGAGGTAATTATAAACGATATCAAAGGTATTACTATTCTTCAAGTTATCACCTACTACTAACAATCAGATACTATTTATTGTTATTTACAATTTTAATTTGGATTTTTTCCTCCGTTGAGGGGCCATGACAATATTGACAAGGTTTTCCTTACTGGGTATCTATCCGTTGGTAGGGAGAGCATTGGTGGTTGAAGCTGAGTCAAGCGAACACTCTTACCATGGCAGCAAGGGCATCGGTAAATCTAAGAGGTTTTTTAGCAAGAGTCGCACAAAATAAGTGAGTATGTTTTACTTGCCTACTGTAAAAGTTAAATTAAAAGTAACCATTCTTAGCTTGTCAAGTGTCATGAAAATCATTCGTACGATCCCTACAAATTACATTAGATATCAATAAAATCAAACTCTATCTATTTTTTTATATTATATATTCTTTATTTCCAAATCGGCTTAGTATATAAATATCCACTTTGACACTTTTTTATTTTTTATTTATTGAGTAATATGATATCCTGTCAAATGGACAATAATTATAGTAAGGTAAGACTACATTCACATTATATACACAGGAAATATAAAATAAACAGAAGCAAAATAACAGATTCGATTAAATAATAATCGAAAAGTATATACAATAAATAAAAATAAGATAAATAAATAATAAAAAAAACAAACGGCCATACACTATTTACAATCAGTAGAGGGAGCTCCAAACAAAGTTTGTCCCTCCAACCATACAGGAAAAAGCAGCAATCCAGTGCTACCCTCTCAACCGCGTCACTGGTGCTCAAGACAGTGGAGATTGAGTGAGGGCGCTCAAAACAGAACTTAGTTTAGTCGCTCACAAGCACTCTTTAAATGCTTTAAAAATGACAAACTATATTCATTTAAGTAAATTTTGTCTCCTTTACAGTGAAGGAATTATTAATTACTTAAATTAAATATCTCTTTAGTTAGCGCATCCTTTTCAACTAAAAACATGACTATCTAAAAAAAACAAACTCAAAACTTGGATTTTGGAGATATCGACGAGCTTTAGTGTTATCAATAAATAAAAATATTAAATAGTATGTGAATAAAAATATAAATGGTAGTTTGTTCAAAACTGCTTATCTCCGAAAGTTCTTCACCAATTTCTTTTAAATTTTGATACAACGTCGCAATAATATTTAGAAGTTTTTTTTGTATAAGTTTCGTTATCGTCGGGCCTTTCATCTCGAAATGGTGGCCGAAAAACGTGATTCGCTTTAGAATGTAGCGCCAATACGGCTTCAACGATTTCAATGAAACTTGGCAAAAGTCTTTCCCTTGAAATCTTTATAATTTATATATATATATATAACATACTTTCCCGAAAACAAGCTGCATACATTTTCATGATGAATTTAGTATTTTATTTCCGAATAACTCAAAAAGTACACATTTTTTTACTGATTATACTAATATTTATTTGAATGCTTTCTTGATTTCCTACAAAATGATAAAAAAAAAGACTGTCGAAATCTAAAAGAATCAACTCCAAAATAAAACAATTCGTAACGGCCAAAGGAGCAAAGTGGGTTCAAATATTTTTTTAAATAAGAATGGATTTGAAGTGAATTTAATTTGCTAATTTAAATTTATTTTTTACTTGCTTAATCACAAAATTAATTTATTGTGATAATAACACACATAAATTAAAATTAAAATTAAATATTTTTGAATGAGTATATTTTGTATTACTTATAAATAATTTTAAATGACTTAAGCTCGATTTTTAATTGAAATTGAAATTTTGTTTGTATTAATAAATGATGATTTTTGAATCGTGAATTATTTTATTTATTGATTCACTTTATTTTTTGTTTAATTATATCTTTTCCTTTAATTTTTAATTGCTGTGGTCGAATTTCAACCACTGGGCGAACACTAGTATATATAAATGTGTGTATGTGTAAAATAAAATCACATTAGAAGGCTTCTCATAATTCATTAGAGAATAAAGTAAGAATTTTGATAAAGTGTTTTGTTAATGTTTTTTTCTCTTTCTGTATGATACCGTCATGGCCGGAACATTAACATTCTTGAGTCTAGCGATGACGCAAACTGAGGCGCTATTGTTGGATATTGAGAGAAAAAACAAAAGTCAAAATTTGGAAATTCGACTGCATTAGTGAAAAACAATATCGTTTTCTCGCCATGTTTAACTTTTAATTTAATTATCTCATTAATAATGTGAGATAATGGTTGAAGAAATTAAGACCATTTTTTTAAAATATTTAGAACTGATTTACCGGTAATTTTTTGTTCAAACCTAATGGTACAGTGTGTGTAGAACCAGGTACTACTAGTGAATTCAGAGACAGAAAAACGACCAGTTTTTATAAACAATCATAATCATAAATAAATAATAGTTGTTATGATGTTTCAAAGGTTTGAACCTCTCTTTTTTTTTTTTTTTTTTTTTATTTATTCAGTATTACAACAATCTGTACATTAGTTATAGTGAGGTAGGATAACATTCACACTATATATACAAGAAATATAAAATAAATAGAAGAAAAATGACAATAAATAGTAATCAAAAAGTATATGAACTTCTAAATACAATTTTTAGACCTTGTCCCAACGGCCACCATCGAAGTTAATGAGGTATTAACAAGTGGGAATGTTGAATTTAGAGTGATTACTTTTTATTTATTTATTTTTACTTTCACTTACCTATCTATGAAATATATAGTAAGGGAAAGTATTGCGATCGTGAAAATTTTCGAATCTGAGTCTTAAACGGAAATACATGTTTTGAGGTCCCCTGAGTCTAAATAACCAAGTCCCGCAAAATAGTCTGTTTGTGTGTGTGTGTGTGTGTGTGTTAACAGTCTAGCTATAAAAAAAAAAGCCGTAGGAAAGTGAAATTGCATATTTAAGGTTTCTGTATACTTGGCACAGCAACAAAATCGGCTTACCAGAAGTATCACTTTATATTGGATTAAACACATTTTACGATTTTCTCGAAAACAGCTCTAACGATTTTGATTAAATTTATTGTATCAGAGTAAAATTAAGCAGTTTTAAATAAAATATAGGCTTCATTCTGATTAATATTCTCTAACAGAGCTTAAATGGCTGATTTTTAATATCAGCTACACATGTTTTTGTTTATCAATATGAATGAACTGTTGTAATCGACTATCTTCAAATAATTCCATTCACTCATCCGTACATATATTATTATAGTAAGGCTCGAAATCGGTTTTGTACCAAATATAAGCTCCTGTCATGCTCAAATACCATGAATGGGGTACCGTTGGATTCAGAATTTCACAGGGGGTTAGCGAATCGTATTCTCCACTTTTGTTTTTCTTTCTAAAATAAATAAAGTCGATACAAACATTTTGCTAGGCTTCAATACTGAACGGTGGTAGGTCTGTAGATCGATACGGGACAAATTGGATCTTGAAGATTTTGATGCGTACAGCAAGACCCGGATAGTCTCCGAGAACTATCGGATCCTGCGTTTTTAAGCCCAAAAACGTACTATTTTCGAGATAACGCAAGGCATAGGGTTCGCATCCACACAACCTTACATTAATTGTAGTACTGTCATTGAATACATGTCTCATTTCGTCGACTTGAGATCTCTATGATCGAGAGAGGAGGAGTTTATATTATTTATCGATTATGTTTTTGATCGGCAAGCCATATCATCGTCAATTTTTCACCAAATCTCAAGATTGAGCCACCAATTTCGAAGGCTTCCTTCTCCTTCAGGCGGACAAAATAGTCCAATCACCCCGAAAATTCAGGCAAACAAGTTATGAAAGAAAACAAACTTTATTTGCGAATAACTAAAAAATTACACACTTTTCCTTGGTTATGCCCGTGATTATATAAAAGATTACTAAATTCCCTACACAATGAAAAAAAAATCATCGAAATCGGACAATTTTTAGCAAAGATTCAGCTTATTGAAATTCGTAAACATGTTGGTTCCAAACATTAATGAAGTTTCAAATTAATTTTTGTTTCCTTTGAAGATTATATTTATCGATAAAGTAACAATTGATTTTTTTATCTTTTGATACGTTGCATTATTTTATTTTCTTATTAATCTGGCATTTGATAACAATATGTTATGCGATTTTTTCGCACGGGCCTACTAGTATCTATATTATTTTAACATTAATTCACTGACCAATACACTGTACGAATGGAATAAAACGAAGCTAAGAAGAGAGTTTTAAGTGGGAATAAAATATAGAACGGCTATCAAAACCTTCTGGCAACTGTAAAATGAGCCTTACAGGAAAAACTTCCAATGCCGCCGAATTTCAGACATTGAGAGACAGAAAATTGATTTCATTATTTGGATAATTTAAAACGAGAGGATATAATAACACTGGTTTTATCTAATGAAAGCAATGCTTCTTCAAAATTGCAAGAAGCTCAGAAACAAATTAATCAACAAATCAGCAGGTTACCTAGAACTTACATACAAGTTCCTGAATCAATCCATGTCCATATGAAGTTGAGTAGGTTGAAAACGAAGCTTTCATATACTACCCTGAATGGGACGCCTACACTCCGTTCGAGCCGCTCCTAAAGTGGGAGACAAAAAGTGTATAATCAAATACTCGTTTTCCAGTCAAATATTTTAAAAATTTTCATTTAAAGTATCGTTTCTCTACATTTTGGAAACTGAGTTTGTTCATGCCATGATTTCATCATTATTACGGGTTTCACTTCAATATGTTTGATTGATTTCACCCAATATATCTGTTTTACAAAGTAACTAAAAAGCTATATGGTAGAAGTAATGGCTCTGAAAGATTATTTTGCAGAAATACGATAAAAAATGTTACATAGAGCATGACATCTTTTTCTTAGGCCTGCAAAAAAATTAAACCAAAAATATAATGATCAAACAAAAAAAAAAAAAAAAAAATTAGTTTTTGTTCTTACACGCTTTTGCAGTGTGGCTGTCAATATATTAGTTATATAATCCGTACATCTGTGTAATTAATTTAATAATTGTTAACAAATTGTTATTCAACTTCTTATCTTTGAAATTTACGAAACATTGTGGTCAGTAGCGGATCCAGGATTCAATTTTGGGGATGCCTTCAGTCCGTAAGCTGTTTTATTTATCTATAACGATAATTACTTGTGAAGAAAAAGAAAGAAATTAACTACCTATATGGGATGCTGTTAAAGTAATTCTTGAAATCCTATAAAAAATTTAATTACACGAACAATAATACTTTAATATTCTTTTTATAAGACATGGTTATATTTATTAGCTATATATGTATTATAATTTAAAAAATAGAAAATAGTTTTATGGTTTAAGCATTTGGCTTAGATCACTTACTGTAACAATATGGACTAATAAAAAAAACAGTATTTATGGAATTTTATAATCTTTTTTACCTTTAATAATCAAAATGTGATTGGGTAAGAAGGATTAGAGAAAAAAAAATTGAAAACGAACCATTATTATTCTAAAAGAAATTAATTATATCATCGTTTAGTAGCGCGTTTCTGCTCTTGCCTTCACTACTTATTGAAGACGCCTCGGTATACTTTCCACCAGTCGGGAAATGCCCTTTGCTGGAGGATAGTCCATTCCTCCCGAAGAGCCCTTTCAAGGTCCTGCAGTGTATCAGGAAGTGTTGCACGCGCTCTTATTCGTCTTCCGAGGTTATCCCATAAATGCTCAATGGAGTTCAAATCTGGAGTGGTGATCAGGCTAAAACTTCAATATTGTTCTGTTGAAGGAACGTCTGCACTATGCGGGCGACTTGTGGGCGGGCGTGCATTATGGTGCATTAGAATAGAACGATAGCTGATTTCGTTGAGGATAGGCAACACATGAGGTTCTAAAATCTCATCTACATAGCGAATGGCCATCAAAGACCCTCCACGAACAACAACCAATGCTGTGCGGCGCTCCATTGAAATCCCAGCCTACACCATTAAGGAACCACGTTGGAAAAGTTGGCTCTGAGAAAAATTACAGGCTGCTTATCTTTCGTTTCTTCTTCTCCACACCCTTTCACGCTCGTCTGGAGATCGAAAAGCGAATCTTGACTCATCTGTAAAAAGTACAGCGCTTCATTCGTCTATGGTCCAATGGCTGTCCAAACTCTGGTCCTCTTACGGGACGAAAAACCATTAATCCATACTCATTTAATCTTCTCCAAGCGGAACGTTCAGAAATTTGCACACCTCGAACTTCTTCGAGCTGATGAATCGCTTGAACAACGGTAAGGTGCCGGTTTCGTAAAATTCTCAAATTCAAAAACCGGTTATCCCGTGGTTCTGTTACCCTAGGCCGTCCATAACATAACCGGGCATTGTATTGTAAGAACCAGTTTCCTAAAATCTAATTCTACAATTTCTCAAAAAAAAAAAAGCTTATAGTTCAAAAAATAATAATAAAATTGTGTAAAATACTACTGAATCGTGATTACTTCCTCACAATTTATGATTAGAAAATACCAACTAATTAAGAATAGAGTGCCCTTGTTGAAAACTTTAACTATTTATTAACGCTTTTTATACTTTTGGTATGTTGTATTTATTGTTTTACATCATATTTATATTATGTGATTATCGTATTTGTCTTGTTTTAGGGAAAATGTTCATGTAAGACATAAGTTGGACACAGAAATTGACAAATATTATAAGACACTCCACAATGTAGTCATTCCAGATTGTATGGATTTGGTGAAGGAAATACCAGGTTATCCACAAAGGGTTAAAGAGGTAATGCAATATATTAATAATACAGAGAATAATATCTATACTTTTTTTTTCTGTTGGTATTTTAAACCTTGTTGATATTTTCCCGCCTTAACAAACCTGTTCCGTCTCTGCCTGTCCTGGGCTCTTTCTGTCCAGTTATCTTCACACAACTCTATTACATCTTTGTTGATTCTATCTATCCATATACTTTCTGATGTTCCACGCGAGGCATTCATTGTTATGTAGAGGCTTCTAGATGGATTGCAACGATCTTAACCTCCGTGCCTGCATATGGGATATTGATTGACCAGTTTCAATAAGCAGTTCTTTATTGGTCATCTTCTCCATGCGTTAGTAATTTAATCCAAGATCGCTCCGGTTATCGTGCGGAGGATTTTTCTCTCAAAACTTTAATTACTTTTTTCTAAGGTTAGTGTAATTAACAGGTCTCACAGCCATACATTACAGGTCTCACAGCCATACATTAGAATTGGCTTTATCATAGCATTGTACACCCTTAATTTGAGATTTCAATACTTTTAAAAGTGAGTAGAAAGCTCTGTTTGCGATAGTTATACGGTGGTCTACTGCTGCCTATGGGTCATTCATTAAACTTATTGTGGAGCCGAGGTATTTGAATTTTTCTACTCTCGGGATGATTTTCCTTCTATGCAGATTCTGTTATTGGGGTGAAATGTTCGGCTTATATATCTATATAGATCATATATCATTATATGATATATCACATATTCTGCATTTACTTGTAGTCCGATCTGCTCTGCCTCTCTTATCAGAGCCTTGGCGAGTTTCTCGATGTCCTCTTGATTACGTATGAGGTCAGCTATATCATCTGTATATCCTAGGATTTTATGATTCATTCCGACATAGACCCCGTTTGGCATCTCTTGCTTATGTTTATGTCAATATTAGTCAATAGAAACAACATACAAAAATATTAGTAACCATAAGAAACAACGCAAATCTTGTACACATCTTGAATATTTAGTCGGCAAATTATTTACATTTTACAAACAGAAATGTTACCTCCATTCCCCCCTCCCCCTCTGACTATGTTTACCTACCTTTTGCTATCTGGAAAAGGACAACCGAGAAATTCTCCCCTTTCACTTACTAAAAGAAATTTCACTTACCTACCAAATGTGTCAGTACTTCAATATCTTCAGTGACCGAACCACGGTTAGTAAGAGAAAATATTATCAATTTTTATAAATGGATTATATACATTATTTTTAGTTTGTATAATTTTTTACATATTTCATTTGCAATATTGTGCATTATAATATTAGTTAAGATTTATGTACCATCAATCACTATAGTTTATTATTAACCATTATCGGTCGTATAATATTATATCTCTGATTGTATTTAAAAATTTTCAGCCCTGATGATGACCCACATGTTTGGGTTGAAACGTCGGCACTACTAAAAACTTTATAATGACTGCGTCCTGAATATTTATCACCCATGATATGTAGAACAGTTTACTAACTTCCTTCACTTATAATTAACAGTCAAATATGATTATTTAGAACAGCATATATCGATAAACAATTATTTTAATGGATGTAAGTTATTGCATTATTATTGTAAATTATTTTATTGTATTTCAGTGCATTTCACACACCACCCCATCATATTATGACGGGTGGAACTTCAGCATCGAATTAATGTATAAAACAGTGGCAGATGAACACCATCAAACAGAAAAGAACTTGGAAAAGTGTAGAATACTCAGGGCCTTGAAGGATATGGTAAGTTAGATCAATTATCAAAGGAATGTTTTTATAAATTCAATGCATGTCGCATTATTTAAAAAAAAAAAACTTAAAATATCATGAAATCTAATCACTAACAAGGGAAAGCTAGTGGGTCACCGATTTCAACCAAATTTTTCGGTGATGACTGTATCGAAAAACTTTCAACATATATACCGGCGTTCGTTCTAATGGGCCCTACTAGCCGAGAAAAATATTAATACAATTTCAAACAAAATTTATGTTCATTATTTCTTCCTTGGATTTGCTCAGATTTTCAGGTAACTGCATATCAAGCGATTTCTTTATTTGTGTAGAATAAGTAAAAATATTTACTATTGTATTAAATTATAATGTATCATAAATTAGAAAATTCAAAAGGCGCTTCCAGTAAAGTAGGTTAACTTGTTTTTTATTACAAAAAACAAGTTAGATTCGTTTTAAGAGTCTTTTAAAATTGTTAAATACGAACTTGTATATAAATAAAAAATATAACCTTTAGTACGTGATTTTCTTGGATGTTTTATTCCCGGCCGTCAACTACAGCATTCATAACTCCTCAGGATTTTCTTCAAATTCAAATATAATATAACCATTGAATAGCTGAATTACTGATCGTTCAACCGACACTTATAGCTTTGGGATTTCATTAATTTTAAGGCTATAAATCAAGAAAAAATTGTCTATGTTTTTAGTTCTTATTTGTTTACGATGGTCGGATTCACACCATTTTGTGTAGTATACAGAGACCTAAATTAATAATGATTTTCGTCCAGATCGGTGCACCGTTCTAGACAAAAAATTCCATGCAGAAAATCTTAATTTTTGTATCGTTATAAACATCGTATTTAAGTATTTTTGGAAGTGTCAAAAAACGAATATCAACTTTGTTTCTCTCTAAAAAATATTACCCCCACATTGCTACTTCGGATGTTTCAAATTATAGCTACCTACTAAATATAATATCTATTCAAAGCCAGTCAGGTATCTAGAGTAAATATATATATATTTTTTTTTAGGGAGATATTAAGTTAATACTCCTTTTTCGCACCTCTAAAAACTCTTATATACCAATTTTGAAAGAAATGAAAAATTATAATTTTCTGCACAAAAGTTTTACCCATGCTGGAAATTCGTAAACGAAATCGATTGATATATCGTCGCCAACACAGGCTGCTCACGGGGAGGGGGCTTTCGAGATGATGGCTCCTCTCCCAAAATGGTCAAATGTAACTGGTAAAATGTTTTATGCATAAAAATATAAAAAAATTATCTCTTAAAGTATTATTATTTGCATAATTACATTTAATAGGACTTCCAGTATCATTTAAACACCATTTCATATAGGTAGTTAGTTTCTTTCTTTTTTCCCAAAAGTAATTATCGTCATATATATGGAAAAAAATCTTTCGGGCTAAAGCCCCGCCCCAAAATTAAATTCTAGTACCGCTTGTGATCGGCACCATATTAAAGTAACGAATGTGTAACGTTAAACAGGATCAAATCCGTTATATTAACATGGTGCCGACGATATAGTAACTTAAAAATCCGGGCGCAGCAATGGCAAAAATAAATAACATAAATTTTGTTTGAAATTATATAAAACATTTTTTTTTCTGCTTCTAGGGTCTATTGGAACGAACCCCGTGATATGTGTCTAATATTTTTCGATCTAGCATCATCGAAAAAAAAAAAATGGTTTAAAACGGCGTTCCACTGTCTGTAGCCTCCTTTTCTAAATGCTTTGATGAATTATTTTTAAAACAAAAAAAAAAGGAGTTTGTGTCATTTTGATACAGTTGATCAATCCATAGCTGTCCTTTTCCGAAAACGATTCCGTGATTCCATTCCAAAAAAAAAAAAAAAAAAAAAGAACAGGCAGCTCTCCTTGTAACATCCCTTGTCTCCCTCCACTTGGACTACAGTTGCTTGGTGTATGGAGGGCTGTATACAGGACTGGAGGCGAGACTGAAGAAACTTATGAATTACTTCATAAAATTCATCTTTGGGATTCCCAAGCTTTTTCATGTTTCCTGTTAGTAAACCTAGTTGAATTGGTTTTATCCTACTTCCGACGACAATTGCTCCTTGGTCTTTTCCTTTTACAAGTCCTCAGAACCAAAAACCCTCTCTACATCTTATAACTCCTTACTCTACGCTCCTCTATCCACTCTCTCAACGCCAGATCTCAACCTATAGATTTATATATCCCCTCCTATAAAACCACTTCCTTCAGTAAATCCTTTGTCATTCCTGCTACCTCCTTCTGGAACTGATTACCCATATTCATACGTCAAACCACGTTCATAAACGTCTTCAAACAACTCCTATTTCACCACCTACTACAAATTCAAACTTCTGCAAACTTGTAAGAATTTCTGGGTTGCATAATTGCGTTGGTCAACAGCAGTTAATTGATAGGAGCCATTTTATTTTTATTTATTCACTTTTTTTCTCTCTCAGTACTTCTTGTATATATTTGTATTTTTCCTTAGTATTTTTTGTAGATATTTATTTTTATCTTTGTATTTTTGTATATATTTGTATTTTTTTTAGATATTTTATTTCCTTTGCATTTTTTGTATGATATTTTCCTTTGTATATATTTGTATTTTACTTAGTATCTTCATATACATATATTTACATTTTCCTTAGTATTTCTTATATATATTTGTATGATATCTACATGCCTGACTAATGTACATATTTTTTTAACTCTACTTTTATTCTAAGAGGACTTCAGTCCCAGAATAAAATTATTTTCTATTTCAGGGTGGCAGTCATAAATAGGCTAAATAGTGGTAAAACTATTTAGCCAATTCATGACCGCCACCCCGGACCATCTCCTTCCTTTATAATGCAACGGTCAATTATTAAATATTCAATATTTTCTATTTCATTCCATTCATTTTTCATTGGTTTCATGAGGTTTAGCATCAAAAATTAAGGTGGAAATTGATAAAGCCATCATACTCAGAAGTTACCTCCATCAAAAATATACTTTTGCAAAAAAATGAAAATAAGGCTAAAAACCACACAGCCCTAAAATATTTACCAGATCACTCATTATTGCATTTTTATAAAGAACTGAGGAGTCTAAATATGAAATAAAATGATTGCCTTAGCTGCAGAGATGGGTCAATGCTACTCTCAGTACTGAATATCAAGTATTTTACTCAAATACTGACCTTGTTTGAGTATCAAAGAATTTAATTACTACTTCAGTTAATGTCAAATGATCAATTGTGTTTGAATTTGAGTAAAATACTTGACGCTCGGTACTCAGAATAGCATTCGCTCATCTCTGCTTAAATCTTCCCTCAAAATTAAAATGAAAACTCATTACAATGAAGTGTGTAAGTGATATGATATTGCGATCAGTTGAGAGTAAGGATCCATTGACCTTATGAATAGGTCAAACTCACAATTGATGCTAAAAGTTAGTTTTTTATACAGTTTTAAAGATTAGCCAATAAATTAGTCCATAAGGTCATAGTCCATTAGACCATTATTATAATTTGAATACTGATTATGAATTGCTTGCAGAGCTATGCGATGGCAGGTATAGTTGATGACTATGCTGATAAAGGTGAATACAGACATGGTAAGAAGGTTTGGGCTTCCATATGCGAAGGGGGCCAAGAAGCTGCAATCTACGACTCCGTCGCAGTCAACTACTTGATACTACTGATGCTTCATCGCCACTTCAGGAATGATCCAGGATACAGCAGGCTGTTAGAACTATATAATATGGTAATATGAATTTTTAAATATATACTTTTTAATTTACCAATAGCGTTTCTCTTAGCAACGTAAAATAAATCCACTTTGTTCTAATATAAAAAATTGTTCATTCAATATAGTTGGAGAATTCTTAAGCCTCTAAGAGCCTTAAAATTCAATTAAATAAATAAGCTTATCCGTGTAAGTAATGATATTTCTTGCTCATTGTTAACTTAAACTGAAGATTCATTTTTATATCATATTATCAAAAATGAGAGCTATGTCGCCCCTGGGCGATCACGTCATGAGCATCCACCCTTCACGAGGCCAAAATAAATAAGGACATTAGACTTGCAAAGAACAATGTTTTATTTACTTTTGAATCCCATTTCTTTTAATATGGCTCTAATTCAGTTATTTTCTTTATAGCATTTATAATTTTTGATCATCTCCAACATGAGGGCTCTCTAGGTCGGTGCCGCTGGGAGTGTGCCAGGATTGCCCTGCCCTAAGGCCACTACTGAAAGGGAATGAGTAGTCTCTTGTTGCCCCCTGGCAAGTCCATTGAAATCTCCAATGTACATCTATTAGCAGAATTCTCTACGGATCTAATTGTTATTATAATATCCTATAATCCCTTAGGTAGGGCTTAGGGCCATCATGAAGTTTTGTAAGGCATCTCGATTTCTAGCTAGATCCTTGAATTCAGACCAGGTCTATCCGGTGCTGCGCATTTTCTTCTCTTGGATCCACCTCCACATTTCTGTAGACCGTCCGCTTCTTTGCTGTAGTTGCGAGTTTCACTCGAGATCTGTCGAGGCTTGATTAATTGCGACCACAGCATTACAGATTGATGCTGGTCTCAATGATAGTCGACATGTCCAGCATTCTCGCAGCTGTTGCCTGTGTGGAAATCACAAGAAATCCAGAGGTGAACCAAGCTTCACATCTTCAAAACCTATACTTGGAAAGACACAAAGCAGTTGACCAAGTTACAGGAATTCGTTAATAGATGTAGAAGTCAATAAATGGCAGAGGGCGGGGTGGCCGAAAGAGCTAATGCGTGTGCACAGCACCAACTACATGTATTTATTTTTTTCCTACATTGTTTTTCGGTAATTCAGAAATGGAGAAAGTATTTATGGCCAATATTTATACTTTAATTCGCTAATCATTTTTAGCATCTCCGTTCTTCTATTTTCACAAGAACCCATAATATTTCTTTTTCATTTAAGGAGGTTGAAATAGTTGGACCTTACTATTTCCTATAACCCATTTACAAATCATTTTAGTATGGTAGTATTGAATAAATTCTAGCAAATGTACCTTTCTGGAGAATACTTGGGTTTTGGTAGCTTCCGTTCTTATCTTTTCCTATCGCACAGCATCATTCACTGAAAGGTGCTATATATTTCTGGTTCATCTGTCAAGCCAACTCTGCTGCTGGATGTCAAATCATCAACGGAAACCGCAGCAGAGGAGAACCCCTCCTGTTCGTGCAATACCAGCAACTCATCAAAAATTAATTGCTAAGAGCAGATCCAAGGTCAGAGCCATGTGCACTTCCTCTCTAAACCCTTCTCTCAACTTTCTTCAGCTCAAGCTGCATCATTTCTTCACCCACTTAGAGGTTGGTAGAAGCATCATACACCTTAAGTGGTTACTGTACATTCGGAGAGTTTATCCTTCATCTTTTCCTCAAGATCATGGCACACTTGCAGCAATATGTCAGCAGTTCCCTTCATCCGTTGGACCCTTATTCCGAGGATGGCTTGCTTCATAAGGTGTCCATCCTATATAGTGGTATGAGGTACGCTAGGACTGTACTTTTCTAGGTTGGAAACAGATCGGTCTACATAATTTTCCATGTTGCTTGTTCTTGTCACCTCCTTTGTCTCTGTCACTAGACTAGCGACGCTGTCAGCAACATATGGCACATATATATATATATATATATATATATATATATATATATATATATATATATATATATGTATTATATTATATATTATTTGTAGTATTATTACAAAACAGTATGTAATATATTTCATAGATATAATAAAAGAAGATTGGATTCTTTGTAATAATCGCATTTACTGATGTATTCACTTATGTTTTTAAATGTATATAAGGTTCCTGGCACAGCAGCGATAGGAAACACGCTGGATATCCTTGACCGTTACAACTCAAACTACAGTGATGATATATGGAAACATACTGTCCAAAACAAAGCAATGAATTCAATATGTACTGCAGGAGGTACAGGCCTAGTTCATGTAAGTGTCTTTACTGTATTACAGTCAACCCTCATTACAAACATACAATCATAAATACATAACTAACATATATCTAACATCTAACATATACATATACATATATAATCATAAAAATAAAATAAATCAGCATTAGGGCAATATCTTCGTAAAATGCATTTACCAAAATTATGACAGTAATATTAGTACTTTTGATTATATAAGAAGATGAAGATTAAAAGATATAAGTATAATATGTAGTTGTGAAGCTAAATGTAGTTCTGGTAATTTAAATGTAAATGTAAATCTACTTTTACAGAATTGAAGGGAAAATAAATGTTTGCGTGTAAACCACATAAAGTTTCCATATAAACCAAATAGAAACTAAACATTTCTTTTACACTCAACAAAAGAAAAAAAAAAAAAAAAAAAAAAAAAAAAAATATATATATATATATATATATATATATATATATATATATATAATGTGTTAAACCCAGGCATAGCAGAATTTTCTAACACTATTGTGAGAGAAAATGTGATAAGTGACTGTAGCTAAAAATATTCCGAAAAATGCTTATAAATGAAAACAACATATGGTCATAACCATAAATGATTATATTTCCTCGGTTTATTTTTGTCATAATAAAACATTTTATATATTTTTTAAACTGTTATATTTAGTGATATTACATTATGGTTCAATATTGATAATGTTTAAAGTGAACTAAGAGTTGATTCAAACCATATTTACTGAACATATAACTAAATAAAATTAAGCAGAAGCGAAATATCAATTAAATAATAACAAAAAATATTTACAGTAAATAAAAATAAAATAAATAAAGTAAAATATACATCTATACACACTATTTACAATCAGCCAAAAGAACTCCTGATTCCTAAGATATGAGATCCTGGTGAAGTTTGAAGAATAATATCTAGGATAAATGAGATAATAAGGCCACGTTGTTAACGTAGAATGGGGTATAAGAACCAGAAGGATTGGATGTATTTGGTATTAGAAAATTTAGTGGACCCTCGCAGTTCTAATCCAGATATGTTTCAGGATTGCATAGTACATAGAAAATTAAATCTGCAAGTGCTTTAATGAATTTCCCTGCAACGGAATCTTAGCATTGATAGCATTTCAAACTTCCATTAGTGTGACTACTTTTGACATATATTAGGATTCATTTACTTTTTTTTTTTCTCTTAAGGGCCCAATATGTGTAGAAAATAATTTGAGTATTATTATTTAAAATAATTTGACAACCTCAAAGTCATTCATTTGTGGACATCAATCACCAAAATCAAAATTTAGTTGATTCTTATAGCATTTTTTTTTTCACTCCTTTAAATAGTAGACCTAGTGTGTCACTAGCTTGAGTATACAGTGTTTTGATTCTGCTGGGAGAAAATTTAATTAATTACATGGTGATTCATTAAATCATATAAACCAACCATATGTTGCATATTATGGCAACGTTGAGATATTACTATCACCAACAAACTATCGGAATAACAATATTTAATGGCGATTTTCTAGTCCATCAACAATAGATTATTAGTTATTTTTCTTTGCAGGCTGGAGTTATCTGTGATGACCTGATTGCTAAAACTTGTGATGTTTTTCGCTACACTGGACTTCTGTTTCAAGTGTGGGTTAGTGAACGTTTATTGTAAATTATTGTATACTTAGACATTGAAGTTAAACTGAAATGTATTGACAAGATGATGTTTTACAAAAGTAACATTAATGCTATTACCATGTCAATTGGATTGTACACTGTGGGTATATATTATGTTTAAAGTTTGACCTGATTGCTTTGCTTGCTGAAATATAATGCACTGCAGAGTATGAAAAGCTTTTTAATAAAAGAAAAGTAAATTCTAACTGGTCTAATGAAATATTCATTAAAATGAAATACTGAAGTGTATTTTAAAAATTGATTTATAAGCTATACTGGGTGTCCCAAAAAGTTCAAAATGCTACAAAAATGTTTATGTAAACAATGGGCCAATTTCAACCAGAAAAGTAGAAAATCCAAGTTCTGTATTTTTTTAAGTAAGTCGTGTTTTTTGTTTAATAGGAAGTGGTAACTAATTATATTTAATTTAACTATTAACTTCACTATAAAAAAACAAAAGGACTTTCAAGCGGCTAAACCAAGCAAAGTTATGTCTTTATAAACATCATAAATTATTCACAACTATTTTTTATCATCATCCGACTATATCACAAATACCACACTTTTATAAAAAAAATAATCCTTTAATAAGAATAAAGTCCGCATTAATTAATTAGAGATTTCTTAGGGATAAACTTGAGATTCACCTCAGGTAGTATGAAAAAAATGATATGATTTTTTATCCTGTCAAATAAAAGTACCCCTACTTTCAGCAAAAATGACTACAATTAATTGTTGGCAATCTTTTATTTCTTTTTCTTTTTTTTCATGATCTGGGATGTATTATAATAAACATAATTGCCTAAATAAACTTTTTATTTATTTAAAAAAGGAAAAATATGAGAAATATTGATTTCCATATTTTTATCTGGTAAAGTAAGTCTGGTAAAGTGTTTTTCACCCAGATCTCAATTATTGGAATCAATCCATATTTATAAGTGACAAAATAAATGTTTCTAATCCTAAAATTTACTTTTGAAATAAAAAAAAAAATGTTGGTTACATTAATTATTTTCATAAAAATGTTAATATTAGAATTAGTCACTTTTGTGGATGTTTACCGTTGTTGAGGATTCGGAAACCTAATGCTTTTGTGACACTAAGTGACAAAAAATAATAAGAATATATAAATATGAAATGTGGGACAGGGTAAATACACTTTGAATGAATTGTATTGAAGAATAACAAACCAGGTGTGTTATTCTTCAATTGTGAGGTATATAGGACAATTAAATAAAAGGACTATTCACTCCTTATATAACAAAAAATTATTTCCAAAACTGTAATAAAACTGTAACGGTATCCTCCTTCCTTCTTCCTATCCCGGCCTCAAGTGAGTTCTTCTTTGTTCTTCTGCATCCTTCTCCAGCTGCTGCCAAAAACCGGCTCTATTCCAAGCTTATTCTTTTCTTTGTCCGTATCTTTTTCGTCAATTGTTTATCAATTTGATACTCTTCAATAAGCAACTTGTCCACTGCATAATTGAGTACAATTCATAGTACAACTCTATATTCCAATACGTTCCTTCTCATCCCCTCACTCAATGTCATCTAAGAGATTAATAACTAGAGGCCATCTACTATAATTATGTAATGTTACAGGATGATTTCATGGAATACTATGCTTTGCAAGAACAATCTGGTAAAGGTTCTCCAGATAGCGAATATAATATAAAATCCTGGGCAACTGTGACTGCAATGGCCCACTTTAATGAAGCCCAAGCTAAGGAGTTTAGGGTGAGAAAACATTTAAAATACCAAAAGAGAGAGAGAGACAGAGAGAGAGAGAGAGAGAGAGAGAGAGAGAGAGAGAGAGAGAGAGAGAGAGAGAGAGAGAGAGAGAGAGAGAGAGAGAGAGAGAGAGAGAGAGAGAGAGAGAGAGAGAGAGAGAGAGAAGAGAGAGAGAGAGAGAGAGAGAGAGAGAGAGAGAGAGAGAGAGAGAGAGAGAGAGAGAGAGAGAGAGAGAGAGAGAGAGAGAGAGAGAGAGAGAGAGAGAGAGAGAGAGAGAGAGAGAGAGAGAGAGAGAGAGAGAGAGAGAGAGAGAGAGAGAGAGAGAGAGAGAGAGAGAGAGAGAGAGAGAGAGAGAGAGAGAGAGAGAGAGAGAGAGAGAGAGAGAGAGAGAGAGAGAGAGAGAGAGAGAGAGAGAGAGAGAGAGAGAGAGAGAGAGATCATTGTAAGGTTTAAAATTATTTGTGTATTCTTAAATTAAATCATAAGGTTCTTTAATTTAAAATTAATTTTTTTAATTTGTTTCATGAAAAATTTTTCTTTGGCAAATTTTTATATATATAATTGATACTGTTGAATAGGCCTGCTACGGGTCCAGCGATCCAGCCAAAAGATCAAGAGTGCGGGAGCTGTATGATGAAGTGAATTTACCAGGACTATACATGGATTATCTTAGAAATATTCATATGACAATGGAAAAAAAAATTAGCATTATTCCAAATCCAAGAATACGAAGTGCCTGCACTAGCTATATGGAATGGTTGCTCGTTGAACCACCCAACGTTGAAGAACAAATTGAAAGAATAAAAGTGTATTAAATAGTTGAGAGGACAGAAATAGTAGAATTTTTTGTGAACATGACACATCTAATAAACGGCAAGTTTATAAAACGGTCATAATGTCACACATATATTGATGATGGGTCAGTTGAAAATTGTTTTTGTTTATATTTGTACTTATTTCATTTCTCACATCACAGTTGAGAAATATTCTATAGCCTTAAGCTAAACTTAGATGGGCAGTTTGCTCATCAGTTTTGAGTTAAAGTTCTGTACGTTGAAGGAAAAACTGATTTTATATGTATATATATGAAAACTGCCCCTTTTGTGGGCATTCTGAAAGACTTATAAGGCATAATTACGGTTTCGATTAAAATGTTTAGCTTACTCATTAAGCCATATCGAACAAATATCAATTAATGCATAGTATATGTAAGATTAATTTTTTTAATTTCCTTTCAAAGGCAAAGATGACCTATCTACTGCGAAAAAATCTAATTATTTATTTTTAAATAAAATTTTTTCTGAACAAATTATACTTTAAATAAACAATAATTTTATTTCAAATAGATGTTTTCCAATTGTTTTATATATATAATCTTAGCTATGAATTTAAACATCAACTACTTCATCTGAATTCCTAGAATCATACAATTTACGGAACAGTACTGTAAACAGATTGCGAATGAATGGTTTGTATGGATGAAAAATACACACATACATAAGTATAATACAATAATATAATATAATAAACTTACATTATATTACATCTGCTTTGTTTATATAAAATTACCCTTTTTCTGTCTTTTAAAAAAAAAAAAGGATTTGAAAACCGTGGCAGCTTCAGACATTTAGAGCGTCCGGCCAATATGTCATGTGTGGCTCACCACTCCACACGCAAAGACAATCATGTAATTTAAGAGGAGAAAATGAGGCATTGCATTTTACTTGTATTTAATTTATTATATTATTGATTCAGTTGCTTTATTAATAGGCTAAAATTAATTTACCTCATAGGCTTTGTAACTTGTTATAACTGCCAAGTGGTAAGAGGCCCTACAAGTTTGGGCGCAGGGCTTGTGCCTAAGTAGCCAGGTCCTAAGATGGAAATGATCAATAGTTAAAATGATCAAAATTTAAACATAGTGAAGATAACTCATTAAATTTTTTTTTTTTAGATTCCAATGAATCTGAACTAGAATATAAGTTATTAAAATTCTGTAATAGTTATTAAATGTACCTGTACATAGTATTAAAGTACATAGTGTAAGATTGGCTGAAGGCTCCATGTCCATCACACCATTTGTTACTTGACCCTATGATGCTTTGGAGAGATAGGCTCATATTATAGGTAAGAACAAAAGGGGCAGAAGTCCCTTAGCCATATGAAAAATTGGTGCAATCGTCTCAGAAGTCGAGTAAGTTAACTTTGCAAACTATCAATGGTCGTTTGACACAGAAAACCCTCAACAGATTGTGGCTCTCTTTTTACCAAAGTTTACATAATAAACAGATTTGGATTGGTATACTCCTCATCAGAGTTAAGGTAACAGGCAATGAGTTATTTTACTTACAATGTAAACTGCATCCTCAATGCAGTTTCACCTCACAGATTGCATTGCAATGAAGCATAAACATATTCTAAGGTAGCATTTATTTTAACTTTGAAGAAATTTTTATCTTTAAATGGTTCAGATAAATATGAGCGTGTATACTTGATTATTAATGGACATGATATCTTTATTTTTAATTAAAGGTTTAGTGTAATTTAGTGTGCATTGGTTTAGCTGCATTTCTAAGGTGTGTTTTTGGTTCCCTTTTTTTTTTTTTTTTTTTGGAGTTGGGGACATTTGTTCCAGAAATCGCATTTATTTATATTACATTTTTATTTAATATTTCATCTAATTGCTAAAACAAGTGAAATGAGAGAGTAGTATCTAAATGGATACTATGACTTACATATAATAGAATCACCAGCTGGTTTCTCATTCATGTCCCTGGCACCACTGTCATCTCGAGGTATCGTCTCGACTGCCTTCTTCACTTGAGAACCATCTTCCAGGAAGTCTTTAAGAACGCTTCGCTCAAGTCTCTCTTACCACTCTTTCTACAATTGATGGCCGTCTTCTAAGATCTCCCTAAGACTGATTGTCCTCTTTTTCCATCCACCGACATTATCACTACATCTTTTACTCAAGTTTTATGATTGGTTGATTCTACTTGTAATAGAGAGTGACTGCACCTTATAATTATTCGGGTTTTTCTTATTGGTTTATTTTATTTGTAGTAGGGGGGACCACCCCTTCCACTTTTCTGTATTTGTTTTTCTACTACAATTTTAAGAGCGTTGGCTTTCTTATGACCTTTCAAAAAGGCTAGATGCATCAGCTTTCTTTTGATCCATCGATTAGGCCAACTTTATCTTTATTACACCCTAATCGGGTTGTCGGCCAAACACTTTGTCAGAACATTGGACCTCGCCAGTATCTCCAGCTTGCCACCATCCTGTCCCTGGTCCACCTATTTTTTAATGTACAAATCAGCCATTCTCAATACCTAGAAATTCGTAATATATAAAATTTTTTATAACATTAATAATAAAATATCAGTTAGTATTTTTCTTTAAACATTGCATATTTTTGTTTATTTATTTTGCGTACCTCATTTCATTAATTTTTATTTCCCACTTAAAAGTAAATACATTTGTAAATTATCATTCCACATAATGTATAAAAAAATATCGTTGGTTGTGAAATTAATTGGGGATTGCAGTGGTAAACACAAACAGAAATAAGAAAAAGTCAATGGTGCCAAAGTTTCAACCTATTTGCACAAAGCCTTCATCTGGGATGAGGAAAAATAAAATAACGGCCAAAAAATTATTAAACAACTACTGTAAAAATATATGAGAACAAAATATAAGTTATCTGCTAATAACTAAATTCTAAGAAGTTAATTTAAAAATACAATTATTATATGTAATGGTAAAGTATGAAAATATAATGAAATTAGTACACTTTTATTTATTTTAGTGCTTTTGTATGAATCAGGACCGCGCGCTAACCACTCTACTATAGCAGTAAAGATCATAGGATAGTATCCCAGCCGGAATTCCCACAACAACTGGTTCCCCTGGGAAGTTAGACCATACCCTCTCCCTTTAATTATGGGAGGCCAACAAGTTGTATTATATTTGTAGGAACAGTTTAAAAAAAAAAAAGTACACATTTAAAATTTAATATGAGAGGTATCTGATTGTGTGATTCAATGGATAAGAGTAAGCTCTACAATAAGAGCTGTAGAGATGGAAAAAAATTAAAAAACTGAAAAAAGAGCGAAAAATCATTCAGAAATGCAGAAATTTACATTAAACTTATGCCCACTTTTACGGCATTGTTTTCTCTAGAAAACGATCTTTGTTTGGCTATACTAGAGTAATGTTTAAAACTAGTTCCACTAACCTCGCGGCACACGAGGGCTGCTTATGGAGTCCAGAAGATCTACTAGAAGTTCTCAGCCCTGTAACAGAAATAAAATAAAATGAAAACAATAAGTTATAAACATTTTACTTATTATAATATTTAAGTTATTTTCTTTTCTAGCCAATTCTCCATCACATTCATACAACACTATGTCGTGCTATTGTCTATTCAGTAACTGTTAATGAAGATTTTAATGAAAGAACATTTTGAATACTTAAGATAACTACGGGTTCACGTAGAATAAGAAACCTAAGTTTTTTAAAGTATTATAATATATATTCTTTTACAACTAATTCTTACCTCGCTGCCGCTATGATGCAGTCGGCCTCTGGGACTGGAATCGGATGACCTACGAGCTTTTGGAAGACCGCAGCAGTTTAGTGTAGATGTTTCATGAGCCTGTAATGAAAAAACATTAAATATAATAATAAATACTCAGTTTTGTTATACTTCTTTTATTATATTGTACTTACTTACTTACTTACTATGTAGCTCTACAACCCAGGGTGGACCTTGGCTTCCTGAATTATAGCATGCCAATCATCCCTGTTGCTCGCTTTTTCCTTCCAATTTCTCACGCCCAGTGTTCTAAGGTCGCACTCAACATCTTGTAGCCATATTTTTCTAGGCCTTCCCCTTCTTTTTGTGCCATACATTGTGGAGAACAATGCCCCATAAGGCAGCCTGCTGTGGTCCATTCTAACCAGGTGGCCTAACCATTCCATACGTCTAATTTTTACGAAATTAACTATGTTGGGGCTGTTATATAATTCATACAGCTCCACATTTTTTCTATATCTCCGCACACCCTCTTCACAAACAGCTCCATAATTTTTTCTCAATATTTTTCTTACAAAAATATTCATCATACTAATTGTGCTAGTGCAAAGGGTCCATGTCTACGCTGCATAAGTCACAATAGGTCTTACTAAAGTCTTATATAGTCTTATCTTTGTTTCTCGTGACTGGAGCGATGATCTAAAAAATTTTAGATTGGCATAGTACGCCGGGTTTCCAACCATGATCCTCTTGTACACCTCAGCAGCAATTTTATTCTCAGGATTCACTTCCACCCCCAGATATATTTTTTGACACATTCGAAGATAAGACCACGTATTTCAATAATCTGTGGACCAGCCCCATTGTCGGCTCCGACATACATATATTTTGTCTTATCTTGATTGATTTCCAGCCCAACATTTTCATCTACGGCTTTCAATATTGCAAAGATTTCTTTTATTAATCTCAAATTCCTGGTAATTAGACATATACTGTCTGCGTAAGCACATATTTGCACCATTGCGTTAAGTATGCAACCAGGTGAATCCAGTTTTTTTATCACATTATTAAGTGCAATATTAAATAATGTGGCAGACAAAGCATCCCCTTGCCTAACCCCATCCGTCATTGGAAAGCTATTGCTTATTTATTATATTGTACTATTACTATATTATATCACATTATATTGTTCCAATATATATTATTTATTTCCGAATCGGCTGAATGAGTCATATAGTATGTTTTTTTTTTTTTCACCCTCCCCTTCCTTGCCTTTTAGGCTCTTC